TGGCAAAAAAAAAAAAAAACCCACACTGGAACTTATGGGATGAAATAAAAGTAGTCCTACAAGAGAGATTTATAGCAGTGAATTCCCATATCAGAAAAATAGCAAGCTCAAGTAAACAACTTAATGTTGAACCTCAAGGTTCTAGAAAAAGAAAAGCAAGTCAAGCACAAAGCTCATACAAGGGAGAAAATCTAGAAAGATTGGAGCAGATATTAATGCAAGGGAGACTAAGAAAACAATGCAAAGAATCATTGAATCAAAGAGTTGGTTCTTTGAAACATCAAATAAAATTGACAAATCCTTAGCCAAATATATATAAATTAAAAAAAGACTAAAAAAAAAAAGACTCAAATCCATGCAATTAGGAATGAAAAGGGTGAAATCACAACAGATCCTGCAGAAATCTAATAAGATGAAAAACACAGAAGAAATGGACAAATTCCTAGATACATATGAATTACCAAAGCTGAATCACAAACATGTAAAAATTTGAAATTAAACCAGTATCAGTCAATGAAACTGAAGGTGTAATTAAAACCCCACAAATAAGAAAAGCGTAGGTCATGATGGATTCACTACTAAATTCTACAAGAAATTTAAAGAAGATCTAATGCTGTTACTTCTCAAACTCTTTAATGAAATTGAAAGGGAAGCAATACTGTCAAAGTCATACCTGGAAGAAAGCATTACCCTAACAACAAAATCAGAGGATTCAACCAAAAATGAGAACTACAGGTCAATCTCCCTAATGAACATAGATGCAAAAATCCTCAATAAGATACTGGCAAACAGAATGCAATAATCATTAAAAATATTATATACGTAAGAATTCATCCCAGGAATATAGGGATGGTTCAACATAGGCAAATCAGTAAATGTAATATATCACATTAACAGAACAAAGGACAAAAACCGTATGAGCATCTCAATAGATGCAGAAAACGTGTCTGACAAATTACAACACCCATTCATATAAGAATCCTATAGAAAATTAGAATCGATGGTCTTTATCTCAATCTGATAAAAGCCACCTATGACAAACCAACAGCCAACATCATACTAAATGGAAAAAACCCGAAAGCTTTCACTCTAAAATCAGGAACAACACAAGGATGCCTGCTGTTACCACTCTTATTCAATATAGTTCTGGAAACATTAGCCAGAGCAATTAGACAAGAGAGAGAAATAAAAGGAATAAACATAGGAAAGGAAGTTGTATTATCATTATCTGTGGATGACTTGAAATTCTACCTAGAAGACCCCAAAAACTCTACCAAAACATTTTTAGATTTAATAACCAAATTCAGTGGTGTAGCTTGATATAAAGTCAATACTCATATAGTATTCCTAAGGGCCAGGGATGTAGTTCATTGGCAACCTGCCTGTCTGGCAAGCACAAGGTTCTGAGTTCAATTCCCTGTACTATTTTGTTGTTGTTGTTGTTGTTATTGTTGTTTTGTTTTTGTTTTTTGAGACAGGGTCTCACTATGTAGTTGTGACTGACATGGAACTCACTATGTAGCCCAGGCTGTTCTCAAACTCACAGCGATCCTCCTGCCTCAGCCTCCCAAGTGCTGGGATTACAGGCGTGTGCCACCATGCCCAGCTCAATTCCCTGTACTAGAAAAAAAAAAAAAAGTATTCTTGTACACGAATAACAAAGTCACTAGGGAGAAAAATAGAGATACAACACCTTTCACAATAGTATCCCCCCAAAATGAAATACCTAGGAACCGATTTAACAGAGGAAGTATAAGACCTTTATGTGGACAATGACAGTTGTTTGAAAAAGGAAATCAAAGATGATATCAGAAAATGGAAAGATACCTTGTTCTCGGGTAGGAAAAGTTAATCTACTGAAAATGGCCATATACCAAAATTGTTATATAGGTTTAATACAATCCCAATCAAAACACCAATAGCATATCTCAATAATTTAGAGAAAATCCTAAAATTCATGTGGAACCAGAAGAGACCTAGAATAGCAAAAGCAATTCTGGACAACAAACACAAGGCGGGGGTTATCACAATCCCTGATTTGAATTTATACTACAGAACTATTGTGGTAAAACAGCATGGTACTGGCAAAAACAAAACAAAAGAACCCCAAAAAACAAACAAAAAAATAACGGACCTGAGGACCAATGGAACAGGTTAGAAGATGCACTCACCCACTTTATCTCTGACAAAAGAGCCAAACATCTTCACTAGAAGAAAGATAGCCTCTTTGATAAATGATGCTGGAAAAACTGGCTTTCTACATGCAAAAGATTAAAACTAGACCCATACCTCTCAGCGTGCACTAATCTAAAATCAAAATGGATCAAAGTTCTAAATATTAAAACAGAAATACTAAACTATTAGAAGATAGATTAGGTAGGAAGATAGATTGGTGTAGGCAAAGACTTTCTGAATAAAACCCCATCGCACAGGAAATATCACAAAGAATCAACAACTGGGATCTCATCTTATTAAAAAGCCTTTGCACAGCGAAAAAAATCACCAACAGGGTAATACAACCCTCACAGTGGGAATAAATTTCTGCTAGCTGTTCCTCAAAGGACTAATATCTAGAATATATAAAGAACTCAAAAAACTCACCACCACCCCCAAATTTTAAAGACTCAATCCAAAAATGGACATCTGAAATGAATAGTATCCGTCATTACAAACCACACAGCAAATCAGTGTAGAGATTCTCCAAAAACTAAAGCTACAGGTTCTATTCAACCTAGCTATTTTCCTTCTTGCTATCGTCTGGAAATAATGAAAAGCTTCACATCACAGCAATATTTGCACACCCATGTTTATAGAAGCAGAGTTTGTAATAGCTTTTTTTTTTTTTTCCTGGGTACTGGGGATTCAACTTGGGACCTTGTGCTTGCAACACAGGCAGCAGAACCACTGAGCTAAATTCCCAGCCCCTGTAATAGTTAAATCCTGAAAACAGTCCAAGTGCCCATCAACTGATGAATGGATAAAGAAAATGTGTTTTTATACAATGGAGTAATACTCTGCCATAAGCAGCATAAGCTTGAAACATTTATAGCTAAATGGATGGACCTTGAGACCTTATTCCTAAGTGAGATAAATTAGACACACATATTTAAATACCACATTGTTTTCCTGGTGTGAGAAACCGAAAGGGTAAATAAGGACCAAAATGTATAATAGATACTGCAAAATGGGAAGAAAATATTCAAATGAGAAGGTGAACAGGAGGAAAGGAAGGGTGGGACAAGGAAAAAAAAGATAATAGAAGGAAAAAATGTAAACAAAGCTTTTGTAAATAAGGAGGGGAAGGGCCGGGGATTTAGCTTAGTGGTTGCACCGCCTGCCTCCCAAGTTCAATTCCTAGCACAAAAAAAAAAAAAGGCAAAAATAAGGAGGGGAAGAAGGCTTCAAGGGAGGGGAGGGGAATGGGAAAAAAAGAAGCTGCAAGACATATTATGTACAGGTACAAATTCCCTAGGATGAATGTTATCGTTATGTGTATCTAAAATGTACTAATAAGAAATAAATGAGTATTTCCGCTTTTTTAAAAAAGAAAAAATTAGTAGGGCCAGGCATAGTGGTACACAATTAAAATCCCTGCACTCAGGAGGCTGAGGGAAGAGGATTGCAGTGAATTCAAAGTCAACCTGGACTACATAGTAAGACCTGTTAAAAAAAAACAAAAAACAAAAATCAAACAAACAAGTTAATAGGAGCACAAAAAAACAAATAGGGTGTGTTTTTGTACAGATAATACAATTTTGAAATTTAACATATTGCATTTATTTTAGCATCATATCATCCTTTAATTTTTAAACATTTTGTGATTTATAAAATGAACATAATATATTAGGACAACACTGTATTATATCACATGTAAGTAACATGGGGTGAAAGTAGTTTGTGAAGATCATTGTTCAAGTGGAGTATTTCTCAGTCTGGGCACCATTTTCCTGTACCCACCCAAGCGATAGCTCGCTATGCTATCAGGCTCCACACACCTCAGGAATGAGAAGTTAAAAGGAAATCTGGAATAAGCAAAATATATGACTGAAATTTCCAGTGGAAAAATCAAATTCTTTAGAGCAGAACTTTCCACAGTATCCGATTCTAACCTTTTATTGCCTTTGACATATTTTACAACTCTATAAATGGTAGATAACTTAGAGCAGTGCAAAATAATTCTTGCCTACAGACATGTAAATAAATTCTGCCCAGTGGCCTCAGCTGACTTGCCTCCCACATTGAGAAGAAACTAGTTTTACCAACACTTTCAAATTCATTTCAAATTTCTGGTCTATAACTTTGGGCTTCTTGCTGTTCTCCCACTAATAAGTTAATAAAAATCCTCATCACATTTCATTTATATCTGAACAACAAATGTGATTTTATCCATAAAAAAATGTTTCCCCCTTTTGGAGCCTCGGTAGAACACTTGCCTAGCATGCACAAGGCCCTGGGTTCCACGCCCCTGCTCCCCAAAAATCCTTTAACAAAGAGGGGTTGCTATTCTTTGGCTCCCTCTGCCATTTCAAGATCATATTCTTTCCACTATGCTTGAGAGGAAAAAGAATAGCCAGGTTTTACGAGGTCCATGCACCCAATCAATCTTTTCCTCATCTCACGGTGTTATCTATAGCCCTCCCTGTGGCTTCCTGCTCAGTCAGGCAAGATGTTGGCCTATTATTTCTCTCTACTACAAGCCCTGCCATTATTCTGGGTGACTTCAATGATCAAAAGGGTGATCTCTCCCGCACTTCCCGGCTGCTCCTTACTCTGATCCCAACAACCTCCTCTCCCCTCCCCAGCAGCCCACTCCTGCCACCCTCGCTTGGGTATGTCATCCTCTGTAACAGCGCTACTTCCAGAAACTCCTCTCCTTCCAACGGGCCTGTGACTGCTTCAGGACATAGCTACCCCAAACTATAGCACCTCAACACACTGGACATTGTAAGCTGAGGGAATCTAAAAAAAAAAAAAAGCAAAAATTGAAAAGTTACTCTCACCTTCCCCTGGTCCTTCTCCCCGAGATAGATCATTAAACTTCAAAAGGACCATCCTTATTCCTTCCTGAAGATGAAGAGACATAAAAAATCTGAATAAATTGGCCTTGCTAAGTCCCCCCGCCCAGTTTATAGCTATTGAATAATATTCCTATTTTTCCCACTACTATCCACACTTCATCATGTTTAGTATAAAAATACATAGATTTAAGCCAGGCATGGTGGCGCATGCCTATAATCCCAGCACTTGGGAGGCTAAGGTAGGAGGATCACGGTGAGTTGACAACAGCCTGGGCTACATAGTGACTTCCAGGACAGTGTCAATTACGTAGTGAAGCCCTGTCTCAGAAAGAAAAAGAAAAAAAAGTTTGAGCTGGGTGTGGTGGTGCACACCTATAGTCTCAGCACTTGAGAGGCTGAAATAGGAGGATGACTGTGAGTTCCAGGCCAGCCTGGGCATCATAGTTCAAAACCATTGTTTTTGGCTTGTCTCATCCAATTCTTTGTTTGAGGCAAGAACCTGGAATACTGTTAGTTAGTGAATCATTTCTACAGGAACTACCCCGCAACTCTAGAGATTGAAGTCAGGGGCGCTCTCTACCATCGAGCTACATCCCCAGCTCTTTTGAATTTTTGTCCTTTTAAACTTTGAAACAGCCTCACTAAGTTGCCTGTGCTGGCCTACACTTGAGATCCTTCTGCCTTAGCCTTAGTCTTCTGAGTAGCAGCTAGGATTTTAGGCATGAAGGACTATACCAGCCCAAAGAATATTTTTATAATGAAAATTTGGGGAAAGGAGGCATAAATTGTTTACATCAGGCCTACACTGGCTATAGATCAGAGAGCTGGGAGTTGTGAAGTGAGGAAAGTTTTGGGATAAGACTAAGAAGTGTTTCTGGCCAAGCAGGGTGGCACATGCCCATAAGGCCAGCACTCAGGAGGCTGAGGTAGGCGGATCCACGTGAGTTCAAGGCCAGCCTGGGCTACATGGTGAATCCTAGTCTCAGAAACACCAAAAAGAAAAAAAACAAAAAACAAAAAAACATCTTTTACTTCTGGGTTGGTTAGAGTTAACAGTCTGGACAGTTCATCTGCAAGTCGGATGCAGTGGCACCTGGTGACCTACAGCCTGGAGTCCTAAGTCAAAGCTGAAACTTACATTCTGGGATGTGGAACAGTCTTTTGTTCATTGAGCCAACAGTATTAACTGATTAATTTCTACTACCTCTTCTCCCCTCCATACTCTTACCCCTTTAATTAAATTTAGGAGATCTCAGAACTTTTCTCTTATCAGTATCAATGACTCTAGCCTTGATCACGAATGTGAGTTCTTTTGAACCTGTCAAATCTTTTGGAAGTCACAGGGGCACCTCAAACTCATTGTACATATAATTAACTGTGAGGTTTTTCCCCTCAAAATGGTCTCTCCCAGGAGTCCTACGTCACTGAGTGCTTGTACAAGAATGGGCATTCCCCTGATATCTTGTCCCTCACCCCCACTCTCTTTAATCCACCAAATTCTATTTTTTAAAAATCTTAGAACCATCAACTGCACTGCTACTAGCCTTATCCAAACTATCATCTTCTCTTCCCTATAATCCTGCAAAAGCTTCTTAATCATCCTCAAATCCACTCTTAGCATGCTCACAGCCCTTTTTCTCCAAGTAGCCAAAATTATCTTACAAAATGCATATCTGATCATATAAAACCCCTTAAAATCCTTTCGTGATGTTAGGTGAAGACTAAAATAAATGCTTAACATGGCCAGAGCTTGCAGGATTTAGCGGTCATTTAACTGCATCCTCACCTGAAATCATGCCCCATCCTATGTGCTTCAGCCACGGGGGCCCTCTCTCCCCCCACAGGACCTTTGCACGCGCTGTTCCCTTTGCTCAAGGCACCCCACCTGCCCACTTTGCCTTATTCAACTTACACTTCAGATCACAGCTCTTCTTAACGTCTCTACTGGGATTCTCTTACTTTAATCCCTCAGCCTCACATTATCATCACTGTGTGAGTGAGGCATGACCCAAGGGCTCTACCAATAAGAATCCATCTATGAATATAAACAATTCCATTTAATATATGTGGAAACAGCACACATTTTTAGGTACAGCTGTTATTTTCCTCTGAAAAATGAGATTATACTATTTTTTCCTATGGGGTTTCCTTTTCTGGTACCGGGGATCGAACTCAGGACCTTGTGCTTGTGAGGCAGGCGGTGGAACCACTGAGCTAAATCCCTGGCCCTCCTATGGGGTTTCTTCAGAGTTAATTCACAGGTAATAGCTGTAAAGGATGTGGAACATGGCCAGCTGCATAAAAATTAAATGTTAGCGATTATACATTGTAACCTATCACCTACTTGTATGAATCTTTGATTAAAAGTTGTCTGTTACTGTCTGATAAACATTATGAATACTGGTTGGGGTACCTTTTATGCTATCTCTTGTATTTGTGGGAAGAAGTAGCTCAGTGGTGGAGTATGTGCTTAGCATTGAGTGACACTTTGGGTCCCAGCCCTCGTACCATTAAATAAGTAAACATATACTGTATGTTTAGCTAGTGTTGTTTAACTAGTGCAGTTACATAGGGTAGGTGTCAATAAACATTTGTTGAATGAATAAACTTCGTCTGTGGTATAAAAGGAAATACACTTGGTCTTTGTTCTTAGTATTGGTCACAGAGCTTCTAAAATTCTTGAAGACTCCTGAGTGCTAGGGATGTCTTTTGTTTTTCATAATGAGTCTTTTTTGGGGGAGGGGTGCTGGGGCTTGAACCCAGGGTCTTGTGTGCGCTAGGCAAGCTACATGCCCAGACCAATGAGTCCCTTTCAATCCCACGGGAGTTTATACTATTGAGGACAGCTTAGGACAGGGCAGAGCCAGTCACCAGTCACCAAAAAGACCATGAGAGAGGATGACAGGGTAGGACTGTGATTGCGGACCTTTTAGAGCTTTCAAGGATACAAACAGCCCACTGTGGCACATGTGTCACAGATGGACACCACTGGGCTAGGAACTCTCAGCCTTACCCACTTACTTCCAGGAAATAGGATTAGGGGGTTGTGGAGATTAAGCTCAGTAAAAAGTTGGGACCAACAGGTCTGCCATGCTCCCAGATTGCTGAAAACATGGAGGTGCTGGAGGGTGGTGTGTACAGATAGGGCCCAAAATCTCCCCACTGATCTCATACTTTGCACTATGCATCTCTTCTTCTTGCCATTCTTCTGGATCCTTTTTAAGAAAACAATAAATGTAAGTAAATAAATGTTTCCTGAGTTCTGTGAGATATCCTAGCAAATAAGTGAACCCAAGGAGGGAAGGTGTCATGGTAAACTCAATTTACAGTTGATCAGAAGCACAGTCTGGTGGCCCTGAGCTCTTAACCTATAGGATCTGACACTGTCTCCAGGAGATAGCATCAGATCTGAGGTGAGTCACGGCACACCTAGTTGGTGTCTCTGGACAACTGCTTGATGTGTGTAAAACATCCTGACCATTTCATGATCAGGTTCTGCGTTGAGTGTGAGTATAAAGAGAAAAATTTGTTTTATTCATATAATTTCATAATCTTGGGAAAGAAAAACTAATATGGTTTAGATTTGTTGGAGAAGGGGTTCATGGAAGTGGTAGAATTCAAGGGAAGTATAGGATTTTGGATGGATGAAAAGAAGGTAGATTTGAAATGGGACAATAGAATAGAGGTAAGAAGAAAAGGATGAGCCACCATCCTTCCTGGAGGGTGAGTGCGATGAGGAGTGACAGGAAATCCAATTATAGATGGGGTGCAGACAAAGCTTGCAGGGACTTGATAGGCAGGTAAGGGAGTCTGGATCTGACACAACAGCAACAAAAGAGTCATGGGCAGAGGTGCTTCAGCAAGATCCACTCACCCAACACTAGAACCCCATAGTAGTGCCAGGAACTCTGCTTGATGCTAGAGATTCCAGTGGTGATCAAAACAGACCATGAAGCAGGCCGTGGTCATGCACGCCTGTAATTGCAGCACCCACCCAGGAGATGGAGGCAGGAGGATTGTAAGGAGTTCAAAACCAGGCTGAAAAACATAGGGAGACCCTATCTCAAAAAGCAAAAAACAAAACAAACCCAGTCCAGGAGTAGTGAAGGAGTTTGGCCAAGTGATTTCTGAGATCCTTATGAGCTTTATCATTTTGCAATTTGAATAGTAATTACCCTCTACCAAACTCAAAAATAGCCAGGTAAACACCAGCTCCAACTTATGGGGTATTTGTAGTCAAATATGCTGATTCCACTTACTTGTGAGTTCATGTAGTTTATTCAGAAGGAAGGGAGAACAAGTTTATAAATATGCACTGTGGTTGTTCACATTCCAGGATCCTGTTACCGATGATCACGAAGCCCATAAAGACAATAATTTTTACCTCTGCTGCAGACAGTTTGCTTCTCCCTGGTCTTATTTTACTTTGAGGGGTGGCACTGTCCGATTCTGTTTTTCAAATGGTAATTAAGACACTGAAGAAGTTCAATAAGCATTACAGACCATCTCCAGAAAAGAAATGTTGGATAAATCACTACATACCCAGCACAATAAACACTATCTTGTTTTAACAGTTTCTTGTACCACTAACCATGGGTTACTCACGTGGAATTCGGAGATTAAAAATGAATGAAAACATCTGGCTCATAATGATTTTGCCAAGAAAACTTAAATATTTCAAACTCAGATATCTGGTATAGAATAATGTAGGTAAATATCACTGAATAAATATCAAATGAATAATCTTGGCTATTGAGAATTTTTGTCTACTTCCGTTGGGTGTGGTGGTGCACACCTGCAATCCAGCACTGTGGAGGTTAAAGCAAGATGATCATTTTGAGTTTGAGGCCAGCCTGAGCTACATAGTGAGTTCAAAGTCAGCCTAAACTATATAGTGAGACTGTATCAAAAGAGAAAAAAATAAAGAGAATTTTGGCCTACTTTTATTCCATAAAGACTATTTTAATTGATTTCTTCATTGATCATGAAGAAATATGCATGACAAACTTGACCAATGTCTGGAAAGTTAAAATGTGACTAGAAAATTCTAGTAGCAGCCAGGCATGGTGGCGCACGCCTGTAATCCCAGCACTCAGGAGGCTGAGGCAGGAGGATTGCTGTGAGTTTAAGATCAGTCTGGGCTACAGAGTGAGTTCCAGGTCAGTTGCAACTACCTAGTGAGATCCTGTCTCAAAAACCAAAGGAAAAAAAAAAAAAGGAAATTCTAGTAGCAAATAATTTCTGACTTTAATGACTGAACCCAACTACTGTATTTCACAGCCTGGGAACTCATTTCCAGACTTGTACAAAATTTTCACTTTAAAAAAACAAATTTGAAATCAATAGCAGAAAGAAATTTTGGAATTTACAAATATGGGGAAAAGTCCAGAGATTTGGCTCAGTGGTGCTCTCGCTTGCCTCTCAAGTGCAAGGTCCTGAGTTTGATCCCTGGTACCAAAAAAAAGAAAAAGAAAAAAAAAAAAAACCAATACAAATATGGGGAAAATAATACATTATTAAACTGGGCATGGTGGTGCATGCCCGTAACCCAGCACTGTGGTGTCTGAAGCAGGAGGATCACCACAGTTGAGGTCAGCCTAGGCTACAGTGAGTTGAAGGTCATCTTGAACTACATAGTGAGATTCTGTCTCAAAAAAGAAGAAATAGGCTAGGTGTGGTGATGTACACCTATAATCCCAGCACTCAGGAGGTTGAAGCAAGGAGGATTGCCATGAGCTTGAGGCTAGCTTGGGCTACATAGTGAGTTTAAAGTTGGTCAGAACTACATAGTGAGATCTTACCTTCAAAACAAAACAAAAAACCCAAAAATGAAAAAAGAGAAAATAATACATTCTTAAATGACCAATGAATCAAAGAAGAAATGACAAGGGAAATTAGAACATATTTTTTGTTTGCATTTTGATATTTTGTGACAATCTCACTATGTACTTCAGGCTGGCCTCAAATTCACAATGATCCTCCTGCCTCAGCTTCCTGAGTGTTGGGATTACAGGCATGTGCCACCACACCTGGCAGAACATACCTTGAAGATGAATGAAATAACCAGAAAATATATAAAAATATCTAGGATTAAGCTAAAACAATGCTTGGAAAGAAATTAATGGCTGTAACCATTTAGCTCAAAAAGAAAAAAAATCTCAGATCAATACAAAAAGGTTAAATCCAAAGCAATCAGAAGGAAATAAAATAGAGTAGAAATAAAGAAAGTTTAAAAAAAGCAGCAGAATAAAAACCAAATGTTGATTCTTTCAAAGTATTAACAAAACCAACAAAATTGGCTGGATTATCAAGAAAAAAAAAAAGAGAGATTCCAATTACTAAGATCAGGAATGAGAGAGGTAACCTGGATGTAATGGACAAATTCTTAGAATCAAACAAACTACCCAAAATGGATCAAGAAGAAATTGAAAATCTGCAGAGAATTACTGTATAAGATGCAAAGGGTTTGAATCAGTAATTCTCACAAGAAGCTCAGGCTAGATGGTGTCCCTGGAGAATTTTATCAAATATTAGAAAAGAACTAACACTAATCCTTCAGAAACTCTTGTAAAAAATAGAGGAAGATGCATTTCCCAACTCATTCTATGAGTCTGGTATCACCCTGATACCAAAACCAAAACCAAAGATACCACAAGAAAGAAAGCTATAGCCAGAGCCAGTGGCATATGTAATCCAGCACTCAGGAGGCTGAGACAGGAAGCGTGCCAGTTTGAGGCCATCCTGGACTACAGAACATGACTCTTTCAAAAAAAAAAAGAAAGAAAAGATGGGGAGGGGTGATAGAGAGAGGAGACTACACTCTAAAATCCCATATGAGGACCAGGGATTTAGCTCAGTGGTGCCATTGCCCAACTTACAAAGGCAAAGTCCCAAGTTTGATCCCGGGTACCAAAAAAAAAAAAAAAAAAAAATCCTATATGAATATAGGAACACAATTCTCAACAGAATATTAGCAGTGTATCTAGTAACATATAAAATGGATTACACAGTATGACCAAGTAGGGTTTATCTCAGGAATGTAAGGTTAGTTTAACATATGAAAGTCAGTCAACACACATATTAATAAAAGAACAAAAACTGTATAATTTCAATAGAAAAGAAAAAGCCCATGACAAAATCCAACACCCTTTCAGGTAAGAAAAAAACAAAAAACAAAAAACAAAAACTCTAACAAAGAATAGAAGGAAACTTCTGCAATATGATTAAGGGAATAAACATAAAACTCATGAATGACATAATATTTGGTGAATGTTAAAAGCTTTCCCTCTAGTAGTAGGAATGTCAAGATGTCTCTTCTATTCAACAATGTAATAAGAGTTTCTAGTCAAGGAAATTGGGGAACACAAAGAAATAGGAGGCAATCTAGACTGAACAGGAAAAGGTAAAATTGTTTCTATTAACAGATGATATGATCTTTTTTTTTTTTGGTACCAGGGATTGAACTTGGGTCCTTGCACTTGCAAGGTAGGCCACCGAACCACTGAGCTAAATGCCCAGCCTGATATGGTCTTATATATAGGAAATTTAAGGAGTCCATAAATAACTGTTAAGGTTTATAAATGAGTTAACTGAGTTTGCAGGAAACAAGGCCAATATACAAAATTCTACTGTGTTTCTATAAACTAGCAATTCAATAGAAGACTTGTATTTTAAACAAAGAGTGCTGGGACAACTGACAAGATATCTACATGCAAAAGAATGCAGTTGGATCCCTATATCACAGCATATACAATTAATTCAAAATGGATCACAGACCTTAATGTAAGTGCTAAAACTATAAAACTGAAGACATATAGGAGTAAATCTTTGAGATCTTGGATTAGGCAATGGCTGCTTAAATATGACACCAAATTACAAGTGATAAATTAACAAAAGAAAAACTTAAGTGTGCAGAAGATAACTCGAGGTTACAAATATTACAAAGTAATTTAGAAAGTAAAAGGACAATGGGAAAAATATACGCAAATCATACCTTACTTTTCTTGTCGCTGGGACCAAAACGCCCAATCCCTATTATGAATAATGTCACTGTCAACATTTTGTTGTTTTGAGACAAGGACTTGGTATGTAGTTCAGGCTGGCCTTGAACTCACTATGTAGCCCAGTAGCCCAGAGGGTGGCTTTGAATTTGCAGTGATCCTCCTGCCTTAGCCTTCTGAGTGCTGGGACTGCAGGTATGCACCACCATGTCCAGCAGCATGTAGTCAGTTTTGAAGATTCCTTTCCTCAGTGATACTGGAACCAAGCAAAATATATGCCAAAGAGTGAATGAATTTCTGGGAACTCTACAGTTGACCAATATTGAGCCCATAGCAATAATGGAGCAATTAAGGATCCAGTGTTTAGCCATTTCCATATCTTGGTTTTTCTAGAATTAATTTCTTTTTTTCTTTTTTTTTTTTTTTTTTTTGGTTTTTTGAGAAAGGGTCTCACTATGTAGTTGAGACTGACCTGAAACTCACTATGTAGCCCAGGCTGGTCTCGAACTCACAGCGATCCTCCTGCCTCAGCCTCCTGAGTGCTGGGATTACAGGTGTGAGCCACCACGCCCCGCTAGAATTAATTTCTAAAACAGCATTTCAAGGCTCCTTGAGTATGAATATTAATGCACCTTAGTTTGTTGGCCTAAGTAAGAAAAACATGAATGAATTTTTTTATTCTCCTTGATACATTCTGCAGTGGAAAGACTACTCAGAGATCCAATCTCATTTCTTATGTTAAAACTAAGTACAATGGGGCTGGGGATTTAGCTCAGTGGTTCTACCACCTGCCTTGCAAGCACAGGGACCCAATGGATCCCTGGTACCAAAAAAAAACAAACAAACCAAAAAACTAAGTACAGTGGCTTTTTCTCTATAAATGCATGCATCAAAAAGGCAAAGCTCATACGGTAGTTGAAATTGTTATAGATTATGTACACTATTAATTTGTAAACAACATATAATTTGCAGTTAACAACATTCTTTATAAGGGCAATGGTGCTTGATTTTCTTAAATTGGTTATGTTATAGGTAGCACTGCCAGCTTTAGCAAATAAAAATACAGGATGATAAGTTTGAATCTGAAATAAACAATGAACAACTATTTTAGTATGAGTATATTCTAAATATTATATGGGTACACTTATATTAAAACATAATTGTTAAAAAATAATTGTTACCCGAAATTCATACTGAACTGACTGTCCTATCTGACAACACTAATTATAGATAGGTTTTATTCACTCTCCTTACTAACAGCTGCCCAGGGTAGCAATAGGAGATAAATAGACTGGGTGATTCTGTATTTCTGCCATGTGTGGTCACTGAACAGTTAAAGAAGTTTCCAGCAAAGTCCTAGGATTGGGCTGGCATGTGGTCCTGGGCTATTTTTAGGCTGAGGTAAATGGGATGGTTTATCCAGAGATTGGGGAAAACAGCTATATTTAAAATTGTGGAGGAGTCTGTGGAGTATGTACTTATGTAGGAGAGGAGGGTGTGACTTAGACTGTCATAGTAAAGGCCGCTTTAAACACATCATGTGTCCATATCCCCCAACCCTGGCATAGTAAGGTAGACGATGGCCTATTAATTGGAAGGAGCCAAAGGGCTTGCCAGTTTGGGATGTGTGGGTTAAGTTATGTCAAGCACAAGAATGGTGAAATGGGAAACTAGCCTTGCAACAAATGGGCTTGCTGGAATGCAGCACAGGTACCTGAAACTCAACACAGCTGAAACTAGAATCCTTACTGTCTCCAAATTCCTACTTCCAAAGTTTATTTGTGTATTCAGCAAATGGTAAGTGGCCACTAAGTACCAGCTTTTTTTGGGTAATGGGGATGGAACTCAGGACCTTGCACTTGCAGGCGGCAGAACCTGTGAGCTTAATCCCTGGCCCAGGCTCTCCATGAATACTGAGCTGAACACACACAGTTGCTGCTCTCAGGGAGCTGGTAGCAGAGTGTAAGAGACTACCCTGTAAATACGAAAGTAAATGATCAATTGCATGTTATGATATTGTTGTGAAAGATGCTTAGCACTGTAAATCTTTAATCAAGCTGTTATACTACTGATGGTCTTCACATGGCAGATGTAATGAATAAACATTATTGCTTGTTATGAGAAATCCTGAGAATAAAACTTTTGAAAAGCACTACACACTTTCCTACATAGGGGAACAATATTTCATTAATACTGTAATTTCTGGTCTGGCGTGGTGATACATGCCTGTAACCTGAGCTACTCAGGAGGCTGAGATGAGAGGATCATTCGTTTGAGCAATTTAGCGATTTAGTGAGACTCTGTCTCAAAATAAATAATAAAAAAAGGTCTAGGGATGGAGCTCAGTGCAAAGACCCTGGGTTCATCCCCTACCACTAAACAAAGGAACAAACAGAGCCAAGGGTGTAGCTCAGTGGTGTTTCATCCCTAGTGCTACAAAAAGAAAAAACAGAAACCACGCATCTAGTGATCTTCTAATCTCTGGAACTCGCATTAAATTTTGCAATATTTGTTATGAGCTTTCAGATTAAATATTTGCATATTTATTAGATGATTAATTTTATTGTCATTGCACAAAAATAGAAGTAGGTGATTTTAACAGGTGAAGGTCTATGTTTAGCCCATTTTTCTTTCTTCTTTGTAAAGTTTTCCTTCAGCCCATCTTTTATGATGGTTGTACTCAACTGCTTCTGTAACATCTCCAGTCCAGAGAATGTAATTCCTGCTAAATTGTAAGGGCAAAATTGACACCTGACTATTTCAGTTTATTACCATTTAGCTTCCAGGAAAAGTACTACACTGAAAAGGGAACTTTTGTATCTGGTAAAATTCCAAAGCACTTACCCAATTTCCTCAATGGGGTCAACACAGTGACTCCCAAACACGTAGCTGAAGGTAGCTACTTGTGGTCCAGACCACAGCTGCTAGCTAACAGCTGTACAACCTCTTGGTGCCAATAATGCTTCTTGGGTCTTGTGAATATATCTGGAAAGAATGGGTAGAAGTACTTTCACAGGGCTGTCTCAATTTTTTTCTTCCTTTCCTTCCTCTCCCCACCCCCACTTCTTCCTCTCTCCTTCGGTCCCTCTGTTTTTAGAGAGGATTGCTCGGCTAGAGGTTTAGCTCAGCGGTTCAGTGGCCTGCCTTGCAAGCGCAAAGACCCGAGTTCAACCCCCGGTACCAAAAAAAAAATATATATATATATATATATGGCTTCGATCAAGTTAGGGCACCGAACGTGCTCCCTGACTAGGTATCACCCCCGCCCCTTCTCAATCCTTTTCTCCCTTTTTTCCCCCATTATAAAATTCCTATTACCTACCCCACGGAACAAGGTGGCCTTTTCTTTTTTTGCTGAAAAGCTGGAGGAAGGGAAAATTAGAGAACTGAACGGGGGTGGGGATGTAGGGATGTTAAAATTATGCTGGGGAAGAGGGCAGGTGCGCTGAACAAATCTCCAGGCAACCTCACCCCCAGCGTCCAGTCCTAATCCCGGGTACCCCTTTCTCTAGGCCTGCGCTGGGGGTGAGCCGAGGGAGGAGGACCCGAGCCTTTGCCCGCAGTCCT